GGTCATTAGGAAAAGATACACATAGCCCAGAGGATTAAGTACAAACCATGAAGTTTTATTCCTGATTTGACTTAAAAATTCTATATACCTTTCCAGGCTTAATTCAAATTCAAAGTTCAAATTCAACACTCAAGCCATTGATAAATTCTTCAACTTTTGCCTCATTATTTCTCTTTGAATTCCTGAATCTGTTGGAGTCTCTACCTCATGTAACCTTAGGTCTTAGTAACATTTTATATTCTTCGTAAACCACAGTCATAGAAACATGGAATGTTAGAAATGGAAGCAAATACAATTCATTGGATTCATTTCTTCTTTCTAAGATAATGTAGCTGAGATGTAAGGCATGGGTAAAGGATTTGCTCAAAATCCCACACTATACCAGTAGCAGATCTAAGATCAGAATTTGGGACTCCTTCCTCTTAGGTCATAGATCTTTCCTCTATATTAATTCATGGGTTGTAATGTTGTTGTTTTTGTTTGTTTGTTTTTGTTTGTTTGTTTTTTGTTTGTTTGTGTTTTTCCTTTAGTACTGATGTTCTTGGAGGAAGAGATCATGTCTTTTACTTCTTTTAATGGAAAAAAAACTCATTTAGCAGATTTAAGTAAGAGCCATAGCAACAAATAAACCTTAGCCCCAAGAAAGAAATTGATAATGAAACTTTAATAAGTTGGTAGTATCTGTCTAGATTTCAGTGTTAAAAAGGATTCACAGGCTACATCTAAACTGAGTCGGAAAGAATGCCATGACTGACTAGTGACGTCTGCCTTGGGCATAGGAGGAGAAAAGGTGATACCTATGTCAGATATGCTCAATAATCAGGCCTCTTCAACCATATGAACCCCCTGGGAAGGAAGAATATGGAGGAGATAAGGAGAATGTGGATACCTACTCACTAACCAGAACAGAGGAATCAACCTTAGTGTACCAACGTGCTAACTTATGTTTCTACCAGATTGTCTCATTGTTAATTTCTTTGTAACCCCTAAAGCTATAGGCATATAGTAAGTGCTCAATAAGGACTTACTAATTGATTGAAATTAGGCTATAAATAAAACCGTTCACAAGGAAACTGTCCCATTTTTCTTTGGTAAACAGAGGTCAATCATAGTCGTTGGCACTCAGTAGGTGCTTTAAAATTCCTTGTGGTATAAAAGTATGATGTTTAAAGCATGACCATAAATCTAATGCACAATCCCAGATAAGATAAAATCGATAGTATTGTAAGCTGATGACTCTACTATATAAATATAGCGTCTTCTATATTCTTTGAGCCACCTCTCAATGTTGCCCAGATGGCATAAACGAAAAAGGGGGATTCAGAAAACTCTCCTCTAACACATGGGATTTTATGAGTCAAATTGCGGGGAAAAATTGACTTCACGTCGACTTCCATTTTGTATGTCATTCTTCTTCCGTAGTCTAAGCTTGCATGATGTCAGGAGTTCCGGAAGACAAAATAGCGTGGGGGAATGAATCCAATATTGACTCATACTCAGTGGAAGAAATCTACACTAAAGTCTGGATGAGATAATTTGGTTGTGACTGCTAGGGATATGACTGCTGATTACAGAGGAAAAAGGGCAACCAAGGTGTAAATTTTGTCTTAACGACTACCTACTCACTTAAGACTGAGGATGGCATGAGATATGATCAAAAACTTTGCTGACGCTTAATGCTTAACCATTGCCAGTTTTCAGAAAGAAAGTCTAGTTGAAAAGAAAAAAGAAAGTTTTTAGTCCCTTTATTTTAATAATATGGTCACACTTTGGCTCCTGGTGGGTTTACAAAACTTTGAAAGGAGAGCTTAGTGGTGAATTATTCTGCAGTCTCAGTGTTGACTGAACCAACAAAGTGTGAAACCTCTAGTTTGCATGTGCAACGCAAGGTGTTTTACAGGCAGAAATGAGAGTAACGTCTTCTTTGGTAAAGTTGATAAGACAGGAAAAGATCATAGATGGATGTACTATTGCAGTGACATTCTGAACTGAAGAATTGTATTTTGAAAGATGAAAATCCAATAGCTTATGATCACTTCTAGCCTGGGATGCAGGACCAGTTACCAAATTTACAGGAAACAGAGCAAAATAAAAATGGGCGCTCCATGTTAAAAAGTTATTAGGAATTTCAAGAAGGTAACAACAGAGTGTTACACCAAATGTAGGCTATTCTAAGTGGCAGTTCTGATAGATGGTGCAGGACTCACATCCATAAATTTGGGCCTCCTGGGATGTTTCACCAAGAATTTTAAAAATTTAATTCACATTCTTACTATTTGTTAAGGACTGACTATAAGTAGTCTTTCAGTTACCTTTAAGCACACATTAGAGGCTATTATCTCACAATTTCTACAGGAAAAAAATCCCCAAAACCAAAGCCTGAGAGGATATAATAATTTGAATTCACATATCTAACAGTTTTAGGCACATACAGTAACTTTAATGGATACCGATTGATTGGGGGACAGTTGGATTAGGGAAAAGTTCTTGGTTCTAGACTCAGCTCTGCATTATCCAACTGAATAAATTTCAGCACGGCACTTTGTTTTTAGGGGTCTTGATTTACAAATCTAAAAAGCGAGACCATAAATAATCTCTATAATTCCGTAATTCTGTGTTGTGTTTGGTCATGCATGCCATCAAGAGTTATTAGAGCTCGGATTTTAGCCATGTGGTTACTAGTCTTAAATATCTGACAATATTGTAAATGTATCTGTAAATATATCTGTAATTTTCAATCGACATTCTCAATTTACAAATGCCCAGACAATATGTAATTCCCAATTGCGCATCTTTCTATCCTTAACTCCTCACCTCCAATACCATAGTCCAGTGGATAAATCAAGGGATGGGCAGAACCAATTTTTACTCTTTTCCAGAAAGTTGGGAATATTTCTTCCAGTAACTTGGAATTTGGCCAGTGGATTCTTGGATGGTATTGAATGCCTGTAGCAGGTCTCAAGGCTTTGATAAGGGTTTCTTATCACTATGTTACCTGTAAACATACTTCCTGGGCCATATTTTTCCTTGAGGAGAGCCACACTAGGGTTTCGTGGGCAGCAGCGTACTTTCCACACTTTTCGCTGGCTTAACATGAGGGTTTGGTCCAGCACATATGTTTTGATCTTGTTTATTCTTTGGGAAGATAGCCCTTAAATAATTTTCTGGCCTTTTTCACATAAAATAATACATAGAATTGTCCATGTATAGTAAATGAAGCAGGATTTGGCTAATGATGTAGCATCATGTTTCCAACATAATCATAAATCCTATTTAATTAAAAACTAGTTTCCTGCAGGTTAAGTTTGATAGTATTAGGATTGTAACTTGAGGGAAAAAAAAACTCAAGTAGATCCTTAATTAAGCATTCAAAGTTACACTTATTCAGTGCTATCTGTGGGTACATCTTCAGGCTAAAATGTTTTTAGGGAAGAAAAGGGTGTTATAGAAGAAATGAAACAATTTCTTATTTTAAGGAACTCAGTCCAACATGTGAGAAAACACATGAGTAGCTAACTCTAATATGAGATTGAGGAATGAGGATTCTAAGAAAAGTATGAACCAAGTGCTAGCCCAGTGTAGGGGATGTGAGATTAATTTTAAGGATAATTTTGGGAGAACTCATGGAGATAATGGTTTTTAGGCTGGGTTTGGATAGATGGACACCACCCTCAGGGGCACAGATGAGGGGAAGGAGAACTCAAAGCCAAAGGAATTGCATAAGCAAAGGTTCAGGGGGGTGTTTTTATAGGAATGGCTAGCCATCCAACAAGCCTAGATAGCAAGAGATAACTTTTATCTTACTTACTATATGTCTGGCAAAATTCTTAGCACTTTATATGTATTCTGTGATTTAATTTTCAGCTGAAGCTTGGAAGGAGATACTAGTATTAAGCCCATTTCTGCCTCATAGAAGAGTTAAGAAACTTGTTCAAAATCACATAGCTGGATAGTAGTGGAGCCAGGCTTCAAGTCTGCATCTATAAACACAATACTCTAGTGTATACAGTGCAGGCTGAAATGCAAGGTGGGCTGGAACTAAAGTATGGCCGGCCTTCTGTACCATCCCCAAATGTTTTACTTCATAAACAAATTACTAAGAGAAGAAGAAGAATCCTATTTTTTTTTTGTATTTGCAAGGAAAAGAAACAAAAAGTAAAAAAAAAATCTCCATTATTAATAATTATTTGGAACAATTGGTCATCTAGAGCTGTATTCTTCAACTCAGTAGCCTCTAACCACATGTGGCTATTGAATGTTTGGAATATGTCTAGTCTAAAGTGAGATGTGCTACAGGTATAAAATACATACTGGATTTCAAGGATTTAATGACAAGCAGACTGTAAAATATCTTAATAATGTTGTGTATTGATACTAGAAAATTTAAAATTAGCTATTTGCCTTGCATTTTATTTTTATTGGGTGTTGTTGGTCCAGAGCAATTTAAAGTTGTGGTAGATATTTTACTAACTCTGATGAAGGACTTCCTCACCACATTGGGGTTTTAACCACAATTTTTTCCTTGCTTTCTGTCCATTTGCAAGAAAAATTTTAAAAGGCACCCCCTTAGTAAACATTTCAGAGACCCTAGAATTTCCTTTTCATTTGCTCCCAACCACAAACAAATGATCAATGTGCTTTGTCAACACACTGGAGCAACATTTTTCAAGGGCAAAGGTAGGAGGTACCAAAAAATTTCCAATCCTGAATAGTGTGAAGTAAAAGTGCTTTCAGAGGATCCCACAAGTATGGCATGGTGGACATGACGGGTCTGTCTCATTGTCGAAAGACCCAAGGAGTTGAAAGGAAACTCTAACTACAACACCAAAATGCCACAAAACCATAGTTGTTAATACAAACTAACTAGCATCTCTGTCTATCTGTCACCATCTCATCTTAAAAAACTTGTGAAAATACGTAATCCCGTTGAGACTCCAATTAGGTATAAATACCAGCAGCAAAAGGAGATGCAGTACATTTTTCTGATCATCTGAAGATCAGCTATTCGAAGAGAAAGATCAGCCAAGTCCTTTGGACCTGATCAACAATACAGGAGCTACTGATTTCAGCGACTTTGGCTTCTCTCTCTCCAAAATGATGAATTATACAAGTTATATCTTAGCTTTTCAGCTTTGCGTGATTTTGGGTTCTTCTAGCTGCTACTGCCAGGCTACATTTTTAAAAGAAATAGAAAACCTAAAGGAATATTTTGTAAGTATGATCTTTTAATAATGCTTGTTTGTGGTTGAAATGACTGAACGTTGACTTGGAGTTGTATCTATGATAGGCTGTCATCTCTAGTCCACAGTCATCTTGAGAAGACTTGATGTTATTTTGACTGCTGACTAGATGAGTTTTTGACTAAATTATCTAGATTTTGCTTTAACTCTCTACTCAATTTTCTGTAGAGACTAAAGGGGCATTCATAAATTTCTCAAAAGGTGGGCATAATACGGGGAGAAAGCAGAATGATTTGATAGTTTTGTGGTGCGAATCTGTTCAATTGTCATGGCAAGTTGTACAGAAAAAAGTGACTGGCTATTAGTTTCCAATTTCTTAGATGACCATGATGGTGAGAGTAAAGGATTAAGGTTATTATTAAAAATGACAATCTGAAATAATTAATCAATTAAAGAATCAGTTAAAGCTTTGGCTTTAAAAAATTTGGAGATGTTTTTCTCCAAAAAGTGCTTTTAAAATTCTACTACCCCATCTATGTCATTTATGAATTACCATTAAACTCAGTCACCTGCTGAGATTCTGTAGGAGTTATAACCTAGCTTGAATTTTAAAATATTTTTTGTTTTATTATATGAGTTGCTTTAAAATTTTTATTTATGGTTAATTAAACTAATTTTTGCATTTAAAACATTTTATTATTTATTCAAAATTTAGTATTATAATTATAGCTCTTATACTTATGTTTAAACTTTCACAAGCTATTTTATTCACACAACATCAAGTCAAATCTTTCACAAACACACATCTGGAACTACCTTTTAAAGCTGGTATAACAACACATAGGACACAGGTAGATGTTATAAAGATCTATACCATAGGAGGGCAGTATTTTATAGTGGGATCTGATTTTTTTTTTAACTAGCCTTACAAACAC